TTCCCACGGGAAAAAAATAATTCATGAAAAGTGACATTTTATAATAATAAGAGTTTGATAATTCGTGTTTGACCATTTCAAAGAAATTCTGACGACTTCGAAAATTTCTCTGTGAAAATTAGCAGGTGCGGTACGTAGCCTAGCACAGTCAGCGATACGGATTGACAAATTTTCTTCGGGTTTGTTCTAATCGTATACATTTCTCACAAAAAATACGTATATGTATATGAAAATGAATCAAAAGAGTACCTACTCTGAGATTTCTAGATGTATCGAGTGGTATCGGCTCAAAATACCTATCAGATTATACTATCACTCATAATAAAAGAATTAAAAAGCACTCACCAGCGTAACAAAGGTAAAAAATGATTTCTGCAATATTATTGTTTGAAATTTTCGATTTCGAACGATAAATAATTCCTTTCGCGTTTTTTTCTATGTCGATCACAAAATTGGACCGTACGTGATGACATCTAATATAAAACTGTCTTGATTGACCACCTGGTCCCGAATGAATGACTAATGAGTTGAATCATTGCTAACCGATTAATTTCCGAACAAATGATTTATCTATGACTAACGATGATAATGGAATTTTACGGGGGAAAAGAGATATATAGTATACAAAATATAAGATGAAGTATTGAACACGGATATACTGACAGTATTATTTTCGAAAGTCTAATGATTTAAAAAAATTTAACCTAGGCTGAAAATATAATCTTTTCCAAAATATCCAGATATGTTTTGTTATCTGGAAAGAATCGGAAAATAATGAACAATGTGGTCTACTTTTTATAAGCGCGTATCCAAATTGACATCTAGTATAATAATAATAATAATAATAATATGTTTATTTCGACAGAATAAGAATTCAATCAAAGAAATAATGATAGCAAGTTAACATTAGGTAAATAAACATTAGAAAACCCACAGAAGCAGCAAATGCTGCTTGTACTTGGTGAAAAAGTATGAATTTCGTTTGATGAGATATTATTGAAAATACTAAGATTAATAATTTTGGAATATAAAAACAAGTAGGTACAAAAATTCAAGAGTGTGAAATATAAATGTACAAAATAATCAAAATGGATAGATATAAAAATAAATGAAATGAAAGAACTCCGGTGTTAAACAATCACAAAAACTTCGAAGACGTATAATACAATATATGTATATAAAATTACTGACAATACTAAAATAAATAATTTCGAAATATGAATCTACGTACAAAAATTCAAGAGTGTAAAATACTTGATTAGTTTGTGTATGTGAAAATGTAATGAGCACTCGGAAATATCTAAGATAATTAACAAATTGTTCTATGGAACAAAATCATCGATAGTTTACCTAATTCGGCTCTAATTGAGTTGAAATTTAACGACTGGTTATTTTTTTGCAATAAAATTGGATTTTTTGAATAACGGATTCTAAACTCGATTCATATTTAGTTTTGATGAGAAATATGAGTTGAATATACCTACCAAGTATGAATCGATTATACACAGTGGATCAAAACTTATGACCTGACCATAGATGAAGATTTTGCCAAAATCAAGATTACGTTCTGTATCACAGTTATCGAAGATGGTAAATTCTTAAAAGATACAGTTTCCAACAGGAAGCACGATAATCAGAATGAAGTATTCCTTGATCGGAGAAAATACAACAAACGGTACGAAACATACAGGGTGTGTCACGACGAGCTTACACTATCTCTATATCGAGAATCAGTCGGGAGAAATCCATGAAAATATGCATGTGATCAGAATTCTGAATCTTGAACCACCCTGTATCTGTTCCGATTGAATGTCAGTAAATAGTGAAACAAAAGTTGAGATAGGGCCATGTGAGCCGTTTTGACCGATAATGAATATTTTCGACACAAAAAAATCCTAAAGTTGACAAATATAGATTTTGAACACCCTATAATCTTATAATGCGATAAAATACAGGATGTTCCATTCGAAATGTCAAGGTTGCTACTACTTTCTAGTAGAAGCGGCAACACTGCATTGTCGAACATATCTTAAATGAAAAAAGCGTATACTAAAATACAAGCATGCACATTTTCATGAATTTCTCCCGACTGAATCTCGATTTAAAGATAGTGTAAGCTCGTCGTGACATACCCTGTATAGGGTAATGAAGTTAAATGAATACAGAGAAATATGAGGAAAAATTGAGAGAATTGCTCTGCACTCACCAGCGTAAAAAAACTGAGGCTTTGATGAAACAACACGAAATACTAGAACAACACACGATCCCGATATTATTATTATTGAATCGAATGAGGAATACAAAATCACTATATACGAATCAATACGATCACTCAGTTTTTAGGGAACACTCAGTTTGGAACGATAAATAATTCCTTTCGCCTATTTTTCGATGTCGATCTCATTATTCGACCGCACGTGATGACATCTAATATAAGACTGTCTTGATTTACCACCTGGTCCCGAATGAATGACGAATAAGTTGAATCATGCTGTTAACCGATTAATTTCCGAACAAAAAATGATTTATCTATGACTAATGATGATAATGAAATTGAACGGGGGGGGGGCAGATATTTTGTATACAGGTGCTATTTTTTTTCGAAAATCACTAACGATATGGAAGAATTTTACAGGCTAAAAATATATTTTCCACCCAGGCCGTTTCATATCTTCCTTCCAATCCTTCCATAAGCGAATGGTTCATATTAGTTTTGGAAAATTGAATAAATGATATCCTTTTTTTTTCAGAATTGGCACAATTTATTACACAGCAAGTGATTTCCATAGCTGCTTTTGTCTCGAAAGTATAATTATGAATTTTATTTCAATTCTGACGTTCATAAAATGTATTATCCAATTCAAACAATTTTGTTGAAAAGGAATATTCTCAGATAAATTATGAACATACAAAAATGGATATATATTTATATGAAGCAATACATTGAGAATTCGCATTCTCTATGTGATGAGAATATCTACTCTTTTTCAGTTTATTCAATAGAAAACAACTACTTTCCTGGCTATATGGCACGACGAACATTGAATTATATCTATTGAACACACGATAAGAGTTTGAAAATAAAATATAAAAACTTCTGAAATTGAGAATTTGCATTCTCCTTCAGACAAAAATATGTATAGGCACACATCATTCTAAATATTCAACAGAAAACAACTACTTTCCTGGCTATTTGCCCAAAAGCAAAAACGTCCAAATGACAGGAATAGAATGTCAACAAATTTTCTCAGATGTCATTTTGTTATAGTTTTACTTGGTTTTAGTTGTATTATAGAGAGATGAAAATTGTGTATATCATGAAGAATGGCTGTATGAATAAGTGTACATCATAGTTACTGATGAGGATTCAGAAATCCGAAATGGTTTCATTGCAATAAAGTCATATAAATAGTGTGAGAGAAACAATATTTCCCATATCACTGATATGAATTATGAATGATTATTTTTGGAAGTTTTCAAGCTCATCAAGATCAGAGTTTAAGCCAGTATACTTCTCCTATACATTCCAATTTTCATTTCAATGCTGAATATATTGGTAAGTTATATTTCTATATCATTATACATCATATTATTCATCCGATTTGAAGAAGAATGTCAATTCTCAATTTCGGAGGATTTTATTTTCTCATTTTGAATGTTCATCAGATATAATTCAATTTTCGACGTGGCAAATAGCCAGGAAAGTAGTTGTTTTCTGTTGAATATTCAGAATGATGTGTGCCTATACATATTTTTGTCTGAAGGAGAATGCAAATTCACAATTTCAGAATTTTTTATATTTTATTTTCGAACTCTTATCGTGTGTGTTCAATAGATATAATTCAATGTTCGTCGTGGCATGCCAGTTAAGTAGTTGTTTTCTATTGAATAAACTGAAAAAGAGAAGATATTCTCATCACATAGAGAATGCGAATTCGCAATGTATTGCTTCATTCAAAAATATATCCATTTTTGTATGTTCATAATTTATCTGAGAATATTCCTTTTCACGAATTTAATTTAATTCAATTACCTATTTATTCAGATTCAAAAACAATAAAATCATTCTTGTACTGCAGGTATTGATGGAACAAATAATCATAAGTAGAAAATCAAGAGATATTTGACTAGAAACATGAAATATTGAATCAGTTAGAGTAAGTGTTCAAAATGTCCTACGTTTCGACGAATACACGATTTTATATTCTTCTCTTGAGAATGAATTATTCTTTCAAACAGTTGAGAATCAGCTGTTAGGTCATTTAAGTGATGTTCAATTATTTATTACAACTCTTGACGTGAATTTACCTATGTAGCATAAACTTTCTGCTCATTTCATTGTCAAATCAATAAGTTTAGCATCAGAAATGTATTGTTGTTCTCGGTTTTCAATAAATAGGTGATAATTTTTCATAATACTCTAATACATAGCTTTATACCAGCAACAGTTATCACATCATCATTTTCAAATCGAAATATTACCAAAACGGAACACAGTATCGAGTTTTACCAAGAGTACCTTTTTGGAGTGAAATTGAATGATGTTCAAGTTCACATCAAATTCGGATTGAAAAATCGAACCTCAAAAAAGTTATGTTCAAAACGACTCGGTACGAACCGTGGAACTAGCTCACTCTACGAGAGTCAGATATTAAAACAAATGCATGCGATGTGTCAGATTCCAAGAAACATCCATACAACATTTTATCACAATCTTGAAAAATGTGTAAAAAAATTATTGTTTCAACACCTTGTATCTTGATAACGGATGCTAACTTATTTTGCAGTATTCTACCTACCCTAGTAAGGGAGTTAGTTTTTTATGAAACATCCTGTATAAGTGTGTTGATGTCTTTTTTTTATAACAATTCATTTACATATGTTTTTATTATATTCATACATTATTGTACTGACTTGCTACAAATGTATGTATTTGCATAAGGTAGTCAAATTAACGCTATCTATCTACCAAACACTGACTCTCGTTTTCCCTTTCGTAGAGGCATGCTGGGCGCCGCCCACATCCTCGCCATGGACTCGAAGAACCTGCTCGACGTCGTCGACTCCATCCGGATCAGGCACCCGCACATCGACGAGCAGATATTCAAGGCGACAGACGCCGACGGGCAGGAACGAGGGGCGGCCGCAGCTGCCCCCCATCAGCCACCCCCGTCGCCCGTGCCTGTCGGCTGCGCCATCGTGCAGACGCAGTCATACGTCGACGAGGTGCGGGCGGCCGTCTCGTCGGATGTGAGTGCGAACGGTGTGGCGGGCAGCTAGGTCGGGCAAGTGTTGGGCAAGTTGTCCGGGTATTGATGAACTCGATCATTGTCGATCGAAATGAAAAGGCGAGCAGAGGGGAAGGTATGATATTGTATGCTCATTCAAAAAAGGATATTTGAAAATCGCCCTTATTGTGACAGTTTTTTCTACCGTAGATACAGTAGAAACACTTAGAGTGCCACGAACATTTCACGCCCTTTAAAGAGTGTGGACACGCTTGTCATCTTGTTAAACAGCTGAACAAAAAAGACATACAGAGGAGTGCACAATAAACGGCCAGTGCTGTAACTTCTTAATCATTTTTATTTATTTATTTATTGAAAATGATACTTCCAGTCAGAATCAAGTTCTGGTATAAGGAAGTATAGTTAACAATAATACCTAAAACTATACAATTATAATAAACTGATGAATAATAAAATATTTGAAAACATTAATAATTAAATTTTGACAAATCATTTCATATTGGTGAGCAAAAATCAATTTGAATATGAATCAAAAGTTGAAAAAAAAAAAGTCATCTATTTCGTTCAGAAATGATAAATTTTTTAAGATGGTATTTGAATTTTATTGTATTTCTGCAATTTTTTATATTATCTGGTAATTTGTTATATTCCAAGAGAGCAGCGTGGGTGAATCTTTTTTGGCCTATAGATGGAAAGTCATTTTTCTGTGCCCCTTCATTGAACGAGTGCAGACATACAGGGTATCCGGAAAAATGCTACCGAACTTCGTTATTGGGTTATTAAACGTGAAAGTTTGAATAAAACAAATATATTCCATATAACTTTTAAACGGTTGCCATTGTATTTATGATATTCGGGCTACTAAATTAGCTCATACTAGTGCTCCTTTCGAAATGTAAACGGCTGTTCAGTGTTCATGTTCTATACAGGATAGGACACATTTTTTCCATATATTGGAGGCATTTTTGACAGAGGGGCAAAATTTTACACTTTGCTTCGACCGTTTGATTCCTTCTTTTTTTTTTTCTACGAAAATAGTATTATTCATTTCAATGGATATCTTGTACCGTTCTAGAAAAACTCGCATTTCAAAAGTTATACATGAAATATATTTTTTTTATTCAAACTTTCGAGGTCATCAACTCCATAATGAAGTGCAATAGGCATTTTTTTTTTATATGAAGCACTTACATTATTTTGGTTCTCTCTATCTGCCCTATTATTTACGACATGACCTTTCCGGACCTAGGGATATTTCATTCACATTCCCCGTTGAACCCGGTTAGGGAATTTAGGTGAAGGGTATACTACGTTATAATGACGTCAACATTAACTATTTTTGGACTCCTATTTCTTTCAATTCCACAGGATAACCGTGTATCTCTTACTTCGACTTCTACTCCATTCATTCTCAATTTGAAACTTCCCATCATATCCTCCATTTTTCACATTCATCATTTGTAAACTATGGAGCTAGTAAACCCAAGGGCAAGTATGGGAGGTGTACCCAAACGGAAATGACGTCACGGTTGAACACAATGAAATGGGATTATCAGCTTTAACCTTGACCGGTAATGTGAATGAAATATCCCTCATGTATTATTATTATTTAAAACCCTAACAGTAGCGTTAAACCAAAGGCAGATAATGCTCTTTTTGTAGTTTCATCAATATTACATCATTTAATGTATTTCCATGAAGCGAATATTGGAATTTGAAGCTTTAAAAACACTTGAAATTTCTTTTCGTCTTTAGGCATCTCAGATATAAATGGTAACCATAATTCTCAGAATTCTTGCAATATTCGAAAGCATGTTCGCGGGGACGCCTATTCCATTTTCAAAACTGACGTTTCAAATCTTGGAATGATGACGATTCGGTAATGTCAGTGATGACAATCGTGTTCACATTGTCTAATGGGCGTGTAATGGGATGTTACAGGCACTCTAAGAGTTACCTAAGGCGGATTCATGCAACATTCAATATAAATACATTTTCACTACATTATAATTACCTTATCACTTGCCATGAGGTACCAGTTCAGAAACAAAGTCATAATGGTTTGCGTGCAAGAACTGTCAGATGACCGACCCTGGAGGCACAACATTGAAACACAACCTCACTTTTCTTATTTGGTTACAAATGATTTAAATGGTTTTTCACATACATTTTGGCAAATGAATCGTGTTTTTCGGCTATTCATTAATTCGCGCATGCCATCACATTGTGCTGCAGCGAGAGCCGAAGGAATCCAATTGGTACATTGTGATTTAAAAGTAAATACCTACCATAGTGACTCACATATAGTTTTCATTTTGAAATTTGGTAATTTCTCTGATTTCTCATCGGAATTCCTTCTGCAGTAGAAGCTAATAGAAATACGGAAGGACTGGTCTGACATGCTGACGAAATAAGATCATGTGTGCTGTAGACATTTTCAATCTATTAGCAGTATTAGCTTCTATTGCAGAAGTGGCAGAAGGAATTTCAATAAGAAATGACAAAAATTTCATAATGAAAACAATGTGAGATTACTATTTACCTGGAAAATCATATCCCTTCGTCTCTCGCTGCATTTTTTGTGTACAGCACTATGAGAAGGCATGCTTGAATTAATGAATAGAGCAAAAAACACGATTCGTATATTTCGTATATTTCGATTTACATCCAATTCTCACCTAAAAATCAGAAAATGTCCGCCAATATTCAGGGTCAGAAAATTATCTGCCACCTCATTAAATACGCAAACCATAGGTTTCATAGATTAAAGACTCGCCGGATAAGGAGGTTGTATGTTGTACTACGTCATACAAGCAATCACGTGTAAAATCGGAAAATGTTTACATATTTATATTATGAAGGTAATCAATTTCCAATTTTAATGAAAATTTGGAATAGTCAGCACCCAAAAAGCAACAATTTTCTGGCTAGTGCAGTGCCCCCCTGAGGCCAGGGCCCCAAGGCACGTGCCTCGCGTGCCTTGTTAATATTGCCCTGGCCCTGGATTTTAGTGGTGAATACCATGTTCTTATAAACGTCAAACGTTGAAAGAATGATTAATTTCTATTCAGTATTTGAATTTTCGTGTCGTTTGAAAGAACTGACATGCAGAGATAAGAGCTGTGAACGCCTTTCCATTTTTCATCGAGTTCACATTTTTGTATTTTAGGTTATTGAGGATATATGGAATGGAATCAATTGTAATGATCTAGTACCTACATATGTTGTTTTGGCAGTAAAATGAAAAGGGTTTGCTATGGATTTGAAGTATTAAAAATATTATACTCAGCATAGTCAATGACTCAACCAAGTCACATCCATAGTGTATTTAACAAAAAATTCTCGTTATTCCAAGGAATAAAAATATGTATTCAAATTATTTGATATTCCTAATTTCCAATGGAGCAGCATTTATTAATATTAGTTGATTGAAAATGGGATATTTCGTTCGGCACTTTTACATATTTCATGATGTGTTCATGTGTGATATGAAATGATTTCAACAAGAAGTACCTACAACGAATTCAGTTTTTTCAAATGTTTGTATACTTTCACGATGCTGTACTGTATTTCAATATCAGTGTGAATCAATCAAAATTACGGTGATGTGTTGTATAACAGCTCATCATAGGTTTATCATGGGTCTTTTGTTTTTCGAAAATTATCAGCATGAACGTCATAAATTTTTATAGGCATTTCGTTTTTGTTTCATTACAAAAATGTAATAATAATACCACAATTTAATTACATTTTAATTTCTGAAGACTGCATAGGATATTATTTGAGCTATTTGATGGCATTGTTCTAAATAATAAGGATAATATAGAAACAATTTATACCGGGTGGTCCATTCAAGACTATCCACCCTCGATATCTCCCAGAATAATTATTCAACAAAAAAATGACGAAACAGGTCGATTTTTATTTGGAGGTGGACACATTTTGAGGCAAAATAAATGATCCATACTTCAACCCTCTACTCTCCAGGGCAACCCCCTCAATAATTTGAATAGGGAATGAGGGTCGTGTTATACATCATTGAAAAGGTAATTCAATTCGAAAACTAGCAGTGCAAAGTTTTTTGAATTCCAACAACTCGTTCTCGAGATATTCGAGTTCGAATGGTATGTTCTTTAATTGTGAGTAAATGTATGTACAAAATAGATATTATTGAACAGGTATTCACAAGTGTTCAAAATGACCTCCATTGACTCCCAGACAGTGGTAGAGTCTATTTGAAAATTCCTCTTGTACATTTGAGAATGTTTCTCTAGATATTGCCATGCATTCAGTTCTTATTCTTCTCTCCAAATCATCGAGGTCAGTAGGTTCTTTTTTAAAAATAACAGATTTTAAATGACCCCATAGGAAAAAATCATTGGGTGCCAAGACCGGTGAGCGTGTTGGCCATTCTATTGGTCCTCTACGACCAATTCATTTGTCTGGAAAATTCTGGGATTGCCATTCTCTCACCTGCAATATGTAATGAGGTGGAGCATCATCCTGTTGAGAAAAAATATTTTCTGCTAATAGATTTGGATTACCATCATCATCGAAGTCAGTGTTGACAGCATCCATAATAAGTGGTTCGATTAGATTCTGGAGCATATCCAAGTTGGCCATACCATTCAAATCACCCTGGATAAATATTGGTCCAATGATTGTATTACCCAAAATCCCTGCCCACACATTCAACTTCTGGGGCCATTGTGTGTGCTCTTCTCTCAGTAGATGAAGGTTATTCTGACTCCAATAACGACAGTTGTGTCTGTTAACTAAACCGTTCAAATGGAATGAACACTCGTCACTAAAGCAAATATGCTTAGTGGTTCCTCTGTATCATTGTCGTGATATTTTCGCAAAATTCAGATCGTCTATCATAGTCATCCTCATTTAATGCTTGGTGAAGATTCAACTTATAAGGATGAAATTTGTGCTGTTTCAGCATCCTCATTATAGAAATTCTGGATATTCCTGTGATGCTACTTAGTTGTCGAGTAGACATTGTAGGATTCACTGCAACCTGTCCTAAAACTTCTACTTGGTTGATTTCATTTGTGATAGGATGCATCCTATTTCTCTTCTTATTGGCAAATGCTCCAGTCTCCCAAAATTTCGCTACAAGATCCAAGATATATCTAAAATGAAAAAAGTAATATTCACATTTTTTTTGAGATAATCAGATATATTATGAATAGAAAAAAATGGAGTATTGAAAAAAATACAGTGAGAATTCGCATTCTCTTTGTTATGAAAGTATTGATTCTCTCTCGGTATATTCAGAATGATGATATGTATGTTCCATGATATTTTATCTGAAAGAGAATACTAACTCTCAACATCAGACAGTTTTATTTATTTTTTATTCTTCAAATTCTTATCGTGTGTGTTCAAATTCGATGTTCGTCGTGGCATATAAGTAGTCGGGAAAGTAGTTGCTTTCTGTTGAATATACCGAGAGAGAATCAATACTTTCATCACAAAGATAATGCGAATTCCCACCGTATTTCTTTCGATACATCAATTTCTTCATATTCATGATATTTCCCACAAATTGTATTTCTGATACTCACTTGTGAGTCAAGTTTCTATTTTCGTGCTGCTCATTGAAAATTCGAGCTGTTGCTCGTGCACATTCATTTTGAACAGCAAAAATAAGAATTATTTCAACTTTCTCGTCTTTCGTGTGAACCATCGTGATAGAAGTAAAATTCTCGAAATGCGTGGTCATTTCTCGTTTCAACACTGAATTCACAAATTCAGAAAAAAATTGTCGGAAGATAAGTTGTTCACCGATTTCAATCATGTTGGCAAATAAAACGAACACGTGTACTCGGTGAGCAAATAATTTAGGTTTGAAAATCGGTAGATATCCGTCAGTAGATACTTTAGGCAACCAACAAGGTTCACATTCTTTCTCTTAAACATTTGAAGAAATTCATCTGGCATTCGATCCTTATTCTTCTTTCCACATCGTTCAGGTCAGTGGGTTTCGTTGTATAGATAAGGGATTTCAAATTACTTCGTAAAAGGAAATCATTTGGTGCCAAGCCGGCGGATGTGCTGTCTATTCTTATGGTCCGCTACGGACCTTTATGATGATGGTAGTCGAAATCTATTGGCAGATATTATTTAGTTTCAACAAGATATGTGTCACCTCCCGTATCAAACAAATGAATAGGTCGTGAAGGATCAATAAAATGGCCAGCATGCTCGCCGGACATGGTGTCCAATGATTGTTTCCTTTGGGGTCAACCAAAATCCGTTATGTATGAAACGGAATCTACTGATCTGGACGATAAGAAAAATGAATTAGGGTTGAATGCCTGACAATAACTAGAGGAATATTTCAAATTTGCGAAAGGAATTTACAAATAGATTCTTCCACTGTCTGGAAGTCAATGTAGGTGATTTTGAACATTTGTTGTAGATGACCATTCATTAATTCATTCCGTACATTCAATTACATACCATTCGAAAACGAATATCTCGAGAACGAGTTGTTGGAATTCAAAAAACTTTGCACTGCTAGTTTCCGAATTGAATCACCTTCCCAATGATGTATAACACGACCCTTATTCCCTATTCAAATTATTGAGGAGGTTGCTCTGGAGAGTAGAGGGTTGAAGTATGGATCATTTATTTTGCCTCAAAATGTGTCCCCCTCCAAATAAAAATCGACCTGTTTCGTCATTTTTTTGTTGAATAATTATTCTGGGAGATATCGAGGGTGGATAGTCTTGAATGGACCACCCGGTATATAGTATATTATGAACAGTAACCGTGTATAATTTTAGGATTTTAAAATCAATTCAACATGAATGGAATTCTGAGAAAATATTAAAGTAATTTTCTGTATATTATTGGATACATTTTATGCTGGAGTGAGTAAATTTTAAGGCATTGTGAATATATTATAAGATAGTTTTGTATATTTTTATTTTGTATTTATATATATATGTTGTTTGTTTTTGTTTTTTTTTGCTTTAAATATATAAAAGTTTGACAGACATACAAGATTTTTGTTATTTCCTTAGGGAATGATGTATGTATGGTACATATTGATTACATACATATTGATTATATTAATGATCTAAAATCAACACAAATTTGAGGTTTCAGAAAGTCGATTTTTTTGTTGAATTTATAAATAACATTTATTTATCAACCTTTTAAACCTCTGTATAAATTCACGTCATTCTGAATTATCATGTAGGATGACTTTCGCTTTTATACTTCCTCCTAAAAATTATAAAATGAGAAAATTTTGTTAGCTTAGGTGAGTATAAAATGATAGTTTCAACAAAATGGTCTAGTGCAACCAATGAGGATTGGCAATTGGAGCTTGAGATTCTGGGTTTCTCCTTATAGTTTGTTTTTTTGTAAAAACTATCTGCATAATTTCTTTGTTTCAATCTTTGGTGGGTCATATTGATTGATGATAGGAGTAGGTACCAGATAAAAAATAAGATGTGACAGTTTGCGGATCTAAGTGACATCAGTTTGGTTTCCAACCTAAATAGGCCTTTTCATTTAGATGACAAATGCCTATCTCTGTTTACATCTTTCATCCAACGACAGTGGCGGCCATTTTTTCCGAAACACTTGCACCCATATATCTACTACTCTACATATAAAGCATAGCTCTCCTCAAAGCGGGACCAACTTCTGTCTCTTCAGGTACCTATAGACCATTGACCAATAGGCGTTGATGCCGACGTAGGGAAAAAATAATACGAAACTTGTTGAACCAATATGGCTACGAATTTCAATTTTTTTGATTGAAATTCGAATATTTGCGTTTTTAGTTGTAAATTTCTTTAGTGTTTGTGTTTTTGTTTATTTTTCATGGACTGAACTTTTTTAACCATTTCTAGTGGAACGAAATGCGGTATTTCCGGAGAAATAAAGAATAGACAGGAATCCTCTTTTTATAAGAAGGTAAGTTTGAATTTTCAAATTTTCTTGTTCATATATTGACATGCACAAAGGTACTATACTGTTATGAACCTTACCTAACTTAAAATCTGATCCTCACGTCAGCAGTTCCCATCGAGGTTCCCATCCTGCACTTTTCCTACATATAGATTCAGAAAGTTCCCCTCATTTTGGTCCCATTTTTGTTGAGATATCGTATAGGCGTTGATTGATATATTACGCTAAGCGTAATATATCAATCAACGCTCAGACGAATAAAAGAAATACAACTAATACTAACAAATTCGAATTTACCGCCATATTAGTCAGAATCGTACTGATTGATCATGGATTCGATATACAAGCGTTCCGGATTATGGATTGTTTAATTGTTCCAAGTCGCACGCCATCTGCATTCCAATAGATTCTCTTCGTAAGTGGCGCACCTGCCCGTCAAATTACGAACTATTGCTCCGACATCGTTCGACACTATCGCCGCCACTATGTGAGATTTCGAACTATGGTACGCCATCTAGTTGTGAGATTTTTTTGGACCTCGTTTTGCCCCATAAGGTTGGGCATCTTCCCAGCGTAAGCGTAATATATCAATCAACGGTATAGGCGATGCGCCATATATAGAAATAGTAGATATATGCTTGCACCACACTGTCACGAATAAGTAACGTTTTTACGTCAATAAAAACCGCCATATTTGAAATGACCAATCAGAATTTTGTGTCGGAGCTATAGCCAATGAGACTTCACCCTCGCATTACCCAATCAAATTTTGGATCTAGAAACGAGCGCATGCGTCTCAAAAATATATCTAAATGGAAAGGCCTATTGAAATCTGCAATACATAGCCCAGAATCTGTTCCATGTCCATGTTCTAAGTGAACCTGTCTTTGATGCTAAGATGCTAACAAATCAGGAAGCTTTTTTCAGTTGAAATTGATGATGATTCAATAATGCTCTTATAAAATACGGTAGGTTATAGTTTGTCTAAAATGAATAAAATGCTCAAACATGACAAATGATGGGTGGTAGAACTACATAACTCTGTAGAGCTGGTTACATACAACTCACTTAGACTAGATTCCGGATTCAACTCCAGCTGGTCAGTACTGTACAGTACATTTTCGTGGTTTTCATCAGTAATCAGCAGCAGCTGATCAGCTGGTGAAATTTCAATATCATTCTCAGCGTCAACTGTTTTAATAACAGTCAGTTTATGATATTGAATATGAAATATGATATAATTAATGTATTATTGATAAGATAAGACCACGATAAGACTTAATGTTTAAAAATCAAGGGAAAAAAATGTGACATTCCTTCTCCCTCTAAAATGATGACAGTTCACTGAAGCCACACTACTTTAGCAATTTCAGTGGAAATATTTGGAATGAATAGTATGCTCACATGTATCTGTCAAATTCAAGGTTTTTTTTTATTTCGGCATGAAAAATCAGCAGATTCATTACTGTCAGTTGAATTCGGAATATAGCCTCTGTGAATAATCAATTCTGCCAACCTTGATATTTCCTCAGTTTTGCGCCATCTGTTGTTGAGTAATGAGCATTTAACCACCAGCATGAGCTCTACATCGTCTACATGATTAAATCAGAGTTTATGAAATACAAATTGAGTTCGACTAGTTCGAGTTACCGAATAGTTTTCTAGATGGCAGCACATGTACTAGAAGGAAAGAAGAATAGTAAAGAAACGTAATAATCGCTAAATTCTGTGGTCCTTTTTCAAAATATATATACCGAGTGATGTTAAACTTTCTGATACTATTGGCACATTTTTTTATTTATCAAGGTACATTTTAGGTGTCAAGTGTTCTATTCCACACCTTTTCTATATATTATCATGAAAGGTTGTGATTAGAGTGAAGGTATATTGTGGATATAACACAGAAGATCTGAGTTCTAGGGGATGCACAAATAAATAAAAAACAGTGATTTTACTTATTTCGTTATATTGAAACATAAAAATATAAAACAATAAATGAGGTAATATGTATATATACCGATTTATTTTTAACACTAACATATTACATGATATCACATGTTACTTGCACACAATGAAGTGTTGTACGTAAAATTTATTATTGACATATTACGTCGATGTGGGACGACATGAAATTTACTAAAGTTGGACTCTTGAAAATCTATATTTTGAATCATATGAATAATTAATCGTTGTTGAGTTTTTTGTTGACTTTCAAGGGCCCTAAAGTTTTTATTCAAAAAACTCTTATTGCAACTTTTTATTTTATCAAAATATGTTTGAAATTTCTGTGCACATATATTTCATTTAGAATTAGACAGCAATTTTCATATAAAAAACAGTATAATATTGATTGCCTTATGATTTTTTATAAAATTCAACTATTTTACTGGATAAACTTAATAAGTTCGTACCACAACAATCAGCCATTCAAATATATTTATATTATAACAGTTCTCAATAATTGTGCCCATGTATTGTTACTTGTTTCTGAAGAAATCAAAATAGTCATACTTCATGAAATGAAAAATGATACACAATAAATTACTGATTGGATTTAGTTAAGTTCGGCAAATCTGATTCCCAAGTACAAAACAATGTTATGGCAAGAAATTATGAATACAATTATCCTAAAAGTTGCAAATTCAGAGCCAAAAAATAGCTCAGTAGAAGTACTGAATGGAAGTCTGAATTTCATTCATCTTTTGTTCTATTTACTGAAAGTAGGCCAAAAAACATTGATTTTGAGTCAGGCATCTGTTCAGGGGAAAATTACTTATCTAAATAACATGGTATACACCTACAAACATATCTCATCTCCACGTTATTCAAGAAGTATATGGGGACGGTTTTAGAATTTTTTCCAAATATTAAGTATCTGTCGTTTTTGTTTCAATACTGGCTAATACTCTCAAGAATAACGGGACAATGGGCGACTAGAATTTCACTCCCAGCTGTTCAGAATAATAAGAATAGTAAAAAAAAAAGATTGAAATGAATCGGTACATATATGGAGACGGTAACAAGTTTTTTGAAAATCTTAAGTTTAAAGGAACATTGATAAGGAATATTCAATCTTCTGATTCATCCATGGAATGTATAACTACCAAAAATGTAGAATCAGATATTTTTAAACTCAATATTTACATCTTGGTAGTCATTCATTCTCAACCTGGAAGTATTAATAATCATAACATAACATACAAAATTCAGCTAGGGAGTTGGTTTGATTTTTGTGGATATTGCCAATTCAATAATAAAACTGTAT